TGCCGAACTCGGTTTGCCGTCGATTTTCTCGTTCGCTGACTGCAACAAATTGCAATTACCTGAATAAAATTTCTCATTACACCACAACGTGCAGGGTACGGGTCCCTTTTCTGAACTCCCATTTAATGTATAAGAATTTTCTGAAACTACGACTTCTTTTTAACCAATCAAGCTCACAGGTCCTTTAAAATGGCAACGCAGATGCCCAATTTGTTGTTTTTTTTGCCTCACGAGAATCAGCGCGTTACGACCAGTCGTGGCGCGCGACTTTACGTCTAAATAATCGTGAACTGATTAGTGAGCAACTCGTCGATGCTAATTTATGCTTTTTACAAGGCCTCAATGTTGATTATGATATAAAGAAGCGTTTTGGGACCCACTTTGTATCGGGTCACCCTGAGCTTGTTCTTACACGGTACAAACGATTTACACTGACTCTAGTGTAAGAGGCGTGCTGCTTACATTGCTTACACGTGGAGTGCAGAGGAAGTAGGGGTCGTACTAAAAGGCTAGAGTTGTGGAAACAAATAAAAAACGTTAGCTTAATTTAATAGAGTCTTACTAGATACGGCTAATCCTTTTTCCAAGTTCATTACGTTAGCAACACCTATGTCGATTGAAGCTTAGCTCAAGTAGCGCGCGTCAAGCAGAAATAGGTGGGTTGATTTCAGAGTATATATCGACTAGTGAGCGAACTTCATCATTTAATTATCACGTTTAATACAATTGTATCATGCAACAGGATCACCTAGTTACACGTATCGCCTACTGACTTGAAAAAGAGCGATACAAGCGAATTAAGTTTACTTTTACATCTTCCAGCCATTCAAAACTACACGTCGACTGCGTCAACGAATTCGTTCAATTGAATATTCGGCCCCACTTCAAAATTCTACAAATAGGTCCTTCGTACAATTCGCGTCTATCGAGCGCCCGAATCTCGAGCTTCATATGTCTTGCGTCAGTATAACTCACTTGAAGTATATGTCCTTGAGCGTGATTAAATTTATTTGGGTCCTAGTGTTGCGTATACCTATGCCCTCCACCTAGGGGCAACATATTGGAATTACCACGACCTGAAAGAACTAAACCGCGAACATCCTGGATGGGGTCATTATTTTCGGTCAGCCCTGCAGAAAACGACATGTGTCCTTCAACCTGCCTCCTCAAAGTAGATACCAGAACATCTTTGGATTTTTCTAAGTTGTACATGTACAATCTTGTTCCTCTCCTCAAAGCCTAAACAAACAAACTTAAATGATCTAGGCAGAGTCATAAGCGTGTCATTATATCTTTCACGTCCTTTCTCGACTTCATCAAAGCTGTGTGCGACTTTTTGAGCGTATCCAGATGTCCGGTTATCCCTCTCATCAACACCAGGAGTTCTGACGCATCATTACTTCTGGTGGTGGCATTTTCGACCGCATGAACAACGCCTGGCTTGCTCTTCTCTTCATAATCTAAATGCTTACTGGCCCCTGCGTGACCAATGGTGGGGGGTGATTTCGCATGCACGCCGTAGCGCGCGTCACCCCTGAGAACCGCATGCTTTGGGCTCATAACCTGTAAGCAGTCAATACACAAAGGTAGAGACAGAGTATACACAATCAAATGCAAAAGAAAGAGTGCAAATGTTTTTGTTATCTTCTTCTGTCTTCTATCAAATCTCATCTGCAGGAGAAACCACTAAATGAAACAACCATAGTTGCTCGACGCAAACACGATGTCAAAATACTACTATAGTACTTGTATCACTTTGCTGAAATACACTTGATGCATGCTGTAACGAAACTACACGGCGGTTATCAAGCCGGTTATGTTGTGTGTCCACACCAAGTAAAGATCGTCGGATCTGAGTGGCACAGTATCTTTACCATGTTCTTACGGTAATACCGCACCTTATCGGTTAGGGATAGGGATAAGACTTCTTTCATAGGATCACGATGTAGAAGTCAGTTAGACAAGGTCTTGTAGTTTTATTACCATAGTTGAGGAATACATAAAGTTTAGTTACCCTAATGAATGGCTGGACACAAGTGCCTAGTAAAGGCACAGTGTACTGTTAAGAGCATTAGCCTTGTCAAGGCGTTTACTCTTGTTTAACTACTAGTGACTACTTAGTGTGTGATTCTGTGAATCGCAATCCCTTTGGAACCGGGATTGTTAAGCTCGTACGCTTGAACGACTGTACGTCAATATTAGTTTGTAATAATTAAGAGACTTTTCGGTTCGAGAATTCTTCTGTTATTGAGCGCTAAGTAGCTCCGCTACACATGACTTTTTTCACTGAGTGCATTATTTCATGCTGCCTCTTCATCGGTCGATTGGCATGACCAGTGTTACTCTTTGATCAGGTAGCTAGTTGCTACCAACACAGAATGGAGTCAAAGACGCACAAATGCCAGCCCACGACTTGGCTGAAAGTAAACAGGGGTGGACACCCGGCAAACGAGCAACTGATCGACACCTGATGACGGCGAAACTCTCGCACCTCCGGCAAATTGCGTATGTAACATGGTTTTATCCTATAGTACATCATTTACCTATATGTATTATAGGTATCTCGCTTTGATAAGGTCACCCAAATTGCGACCACATGTAGAGTGTAAGTCAAACACACGCACCAATGCTTGCACGTGATTGGCTCAAAGTGACCAGGGGCGGACAGAGGGCTGACAAGCAAATGCTCGATGCTTCTAGGCAGCCAAAATCTTGCACCTTTGGCAAACAGCAAGTGCAGTTTCTTTTATGCGAAGTACTGAGCGAACCGTAATATTAGGGAGTTAGGACCTAGTTCCTCTCTCAATGGCGGAGGAAGCTCCCTCAATGATAATTCTCTTTTTCATAAAAAGAAAGAAGTCTTCGGCTGCACTTTGATGTTGACTGCTTTTCAAGCAGGATCTTCCCCGTCTCTCTTTTCTCATGTACGTCTCGCTAACATCAACAACATCAACGAGTAGCTTTAACACACCCAATCCATTAGCACTTACACGTATTAACGCACAACAACAATCCATTCTCTAGCCGCCAACTGCCCAAATTGGATGCGTAAATTTTAGACCATGATTCAGTGCTCTGGACTGAATTACTCATATCAAAGGGCGAGCTCCAGGGCTTGCTCCCTTATCTTAGGAGATACTCGCCGCAAAGGCTAACTGTTGAGCAAGCTTTAGCACAAACGAAACACTGCAACCGCTTGAGTCCAGCTGTCATCATTCAAAGAGACCTGTTAACTCAACGAAAACATATAGTCTCATTTTTTCCACGCGCTCTACGAGTGACAGCAGTTAACTAATGAGGCACGAGACAAACTCAACATGTTGTGGATTCTCAATTTTCTTACGGATTGGGAACTCGTAGCACGCGGGTGATTATCACAAGACCATCTTCTCAGTACGCTAAGACTCTTCACAACTGTTGCACGAAGAGCGCAACATGTGGCCTCTTTATCGCATGCACACCCTCACCCTTCTCTCCCACGTGCTTATCGGACCCCTACATCTCTCGTAGTACGTCCATGTGGCTGCAAAAGTCGCTGTCCCACCTGAGGACAGCGATCAGTTGACACGCTCATCATAAGACGAGATGTCTTATATGCAACTCGACAAATCTAAACTTACAGGTGCTTTCAGTAACTTCTACACGAGTCCATGCCAAAGCTCTTGCAGAATGTCACGAACCGATGTCCTAGAGTATGCGCTACAGCCTTGGCCTATTATTTCCATACAGTGTCCGCTCGACGAGCATTGCGTCCGTTTCTCTCGTCTTTAGCACAACATCGACGCACACACACCTACGGAACGAAAGCTTAGCTCTCCACGGCGTACGACTTTGCCATTCTAGTGTAAACTGCGGTTACCGTGCGTTGATGATCCGGTTTGTTCGAGCCTGTCGTGCCAAGGTTCGACAGAGAAGTACAGCTGGAGAGTCACATGCTTTACGCTCGTACCACAGTGTCAGCACGCGAGCCCAGCGGAAGCCGTTTCAAGTAACAACTGACCCGGACGCAAGAGCCGCGCATTCTTAGCCCCATGCACTCCCACACATCAGGAATGCAAGCAAAGTCTAGATCCGCCCGCACGTACCACGATTCAAGCAAGGGCTCTGACAACGCAAGAGTAGCTCTCATTGCGAATGCGACGAAAGGGCGTCAATGCTAGGATGAAGACTTGCGATCATGAAGACCGGATCGATAGCAGAAGCGCAATTGAACCATTCGGAATGTGTTGTGCGCGCCTTTCCCCGTTAGCGCATCGAGACGGCGCAAGCCAAAAGTGTCGCGGTTGGTAATGCAGTAACTTCGGTTCGCAACGTCCAGCCAGTATCTACACCACGTTCTGAAACACCCGCAGCTTTGTATAAAGATACTATTGCCTAGTCGATCTCCGTTCACCTTGATGATGCCCAGTCCTTGTACTGGTGTGATGTGCACCTGCACGTTTCAGACAACAAGTTTTGGTTCAAGCTCATAGTTGGTCTTGCCTCAACAGCTTCGAACTAGTGTGACGTTCACCGTGTGTACCGCCTACACGTGGGACTTGCTTGATAAATGCAGCATCTGACCAACGATCGTCCCTCGTTCCATATCATCGACCCATACGTGCTCTTCCGCTACCACGACACGTCTTTGCACTGCAAAGGGTGCAGCAGCAGCACCTTGAAAGCTTTCAAAACGCTATCTTCTAGTTCTTGCATCACCAAGCTGATTGTCGGTCAGCCTAGTAGTCGGTAGACCAAGCGTATGACTATCGGACAATCGTCCTGCGACAACTGCATTTTTTCTACCTCAACCATGCATCCGACATCACCGAAAACCGGCTGGTTGCACGGGGTACCGTGCCGAAACAAGCTCTTGCGCCGCCTCTCTTTCATGCCATAGAAGTGCGCGTGGGCCGATCGTCCATCCAGTCGAAACTGTATGACGCTGTCTTCTCACTCTAGCCCGCCAGTTCCCTCATTCAAGCACAGAGCCACGGCAGCGCTGTCCAATTCTCGATCGATCAGCACACACAGACACTGCCAGCAACTTTGTATCCGAGATGATACGAAACCACCACCACCGTTTTACTCGAACACATATCGCATCGACGGTTCACCAACGGGTCAACGTCCAAAGAAAGCACCTCGTCGATCGTCACGACGTCACGCGTGACTTCGCATGCAAAGATCAAGACGTTTGCACGCAGAAACGTGCCCATTTGCTCGCCGCTGTCTCGAATCGACCACACTATCCCACCAGCTGCTGCAGGCGTTCCCGACGTTAGTTGGTAGGAGTCGAAGTGGTAGAAGTAGGTCTGTCTACCCACCTCCCCCACCTGTCCGTTAAAGACGAGAGCCGGCCCCTCTCGCGTCTCCACAACCACAATCGATCGACGCTACGACCGATAGACAACCAGAAACAAACGGACGGGACTGACCCGATGTCGCTTTGATTTCAGCGCCACTTGCGCACACAATCGCTTCCCCCTCCTTTACCACGGAAGGGCTCGACCCCGTTCGTCCATATCCACGCAGGCGTAGTACCCCAATACATCAAGACACGTACAAATAGCCATACAGCCACCCACACACACCCACATCTCTCTTCTCCTTCCTCTTCTAGCATCAGAATTAAACTCTTACAGCCCTTTCAACCCTTCACACACACACACAATGAGCGCCGCTATCATCGGGGTGATCGTCGGTGTCCTCGTCGTGCTTGTTATCGCCGGGTTCGTCGTCTACCGCTTCATGGGCGCCACGACCCATCGAGAGAGCGAGAAGCACTTTATGCAGGAGTACCCGCCCACGAAATTCACGACCATCGCTGCTACGACCGCCTCGCACCATTTGTCCGAGAGCCATACGCAGAGCACGCCTACCGAGTACGACTTTACGACGCTCGATATGCCTTCGACAACGGCTAAGGCCCCCGCGAGTTCATCTCCTGACCCTTTGGCGTTATCGATTGCGATGCTCAATGCAGCGCCCAGTAGTGTGCCAGCTCCGCCTTTGGAACCAAAGCGGTACAACTTTGACCCGGCTCAATCTACAGTCAATGGGGCGGCCCCATCCACGTCCCCGTTCAATAGGAAGGATGCAGTCCAGCCATCGCGACCTAGTTACAGCAATTTTGAAGCCCACTCAATGGAATTCAGTGCTGCATCAGGGAGCTACGTCGAGTCGTACACTGAGTCTTATGCTGGCTCGTTTGCCGGGTCCATGGCAGGGTCGTACGCGAATTCCTTCTCGGGCACGTACGACGGACAGGGCGTGCTCAACTCCTTTGATAGTAGTGCCGATGCTTTCGGACGGGATACAGTTGGCACGACGGTCTCGGATGCACAAGGAGGAGGAGGACGGGACAGTCAAACTCGACCAACTACGGGAGACGGCGACCAATCGCACTGGATGGACGACATGCGAGGCACAAACGATAGCTACGCGATGCTCGAGTCGGGCTCCTTTGACCGGACGTCGGCACTTTCCCGCTTTTCCACGGACTCGGACTTGACAGGTCGACCTACGCAGACATAAGAAGGCAGGAAGAGACACAGCGAGGAGGAGTGTGTATCTATAGGCAATCGCTTTGGAGAGCAAGTGCGGGTGCTGGCAATGATCGGTACTTGCGCGGTGAGTCTTCGTGAGTTGCCAAGTTGAAGTGCTGTATTGGTGACCTCGAAGGCGACCCGAGAGTGTGGTGGTGCGTCCTGGTTCTTTTTAGTATAAACGACAATGACGAGAGTTGCGAGTGACAAATTATGATGCCCGTCTGTGCGTGCACATGTGCTGATTGATTTGATTGATCGCATCCGAACAGGCAATTGCATATCGTGAGACGTTGGTGAACAATCAGCAGGAACTAGCTGGCTGGGACTGCTGCTGTTTATCGACGGGCTGGACCACCGCGCTTTGGCAGTGGAAAGTGTAGCGGTACCGAAAGCACGGCCCGGTTGATAGGCTTCTTGGCCGCCACACCGTAAGCTGTCGTTTCCGCCTTGACCTTCTCGACGAGGCAACCAAGTTGGCGGGCGTACGACTGTATCTGGACAGCAGCTTTCTTCAAATCAGAGCCAACCTCAGTGAGGTCCAGACTGAAGTCGTTTACAGTAAGCGCAACGACGATCAGGTACAGACTGAGCTTGTCTTTCATGGCCTTGGACTGGAAATACGTCGGGTGCCCATTGTTGCCTTCGCTCACGTCAGCAAAGAGCTCGAGGAAATGGCGCACAATGACGAGAGGAATGCCCTTCTCTTCGCTGAAATCGGCTGCTGACTTGCGTAGCGGGAAACGCGCGTTGTAGAAGTCAATCATGTAGGCTATGTACACGATGAGGCACATCTTGTTGACGTTGTACGGGGCAGGAAGAGATGCCATCAGCCGCGTAGGTAATGATGCCAGGCTCAAACTCGCCGCGTATTCCGCTGCACTTGTCGTCTGTAGCGTCTCGATCACCTCTTCCGCCATAATCGTCAGCGAATCCATGACCGCGCTATCCATAACTACATTCCACACCAAGTCAGAAAAAACAGCGTGTAAGTTCTAGCACATACCAACGCAAAGCGAGATAAACAAAGAAAAGCAAAGTATCAGAAACGTACACTTCGTAAGGTCGTAGACATGCTCTGGTGTCGGTGCATCAATGTCATACGGCGGCAACAAAGCATTCCGCGTAGCAGCAAGAGCCGCGCCTTCTCGTGAATAATTCCCGTCCTTTGCCCGCTCATCCTCGAGCTTGCGTTGCGCTGCCGAAATTTTCTTTTTCAGCGTCTGCGCAACTGACGTCGCGCCACTAATATGTCCAAGGTCCACAACGTTCTCCTCTCGGTTCTTCTGCAAGCGTTTGCTCTTCTTGCTGCCAAAGACCTCGACGAGATCCCGTCGTTGCTCCATATAGCTCTTGTCTTGTCCACGATTGTCATCCACGTTCTCCGACGCGTTCTTAATAGCTTGCTGCATGACGTAAATCTGGTTCACATTGCACAGTCGCACCTCTCGTGTCTTCTTGTCGTACACGCCAACTGCATAGTTGGCAAAATCGTGACTTGCCCCCAAGTAGCCGAAATTCGCTCCTTGGTACGCCACTTTCTCGGAGCTCGCAAGCACCAATCGCTGCTTCTTGCTCGGGTTTTCATAAACTTCAAACGCCAAGTTCTTGCGCTGATCCAATGGCGGTGGCCCGTTCCGGAACGTCGCTACATGTTGACACCAAAAAATAAAGGAGACCATGTCAGTCAGTAATCACCGCTAGTGCTTCTCCTGTAACATAAATAAAAGCAAATTGAAATGACAATAACATCGAATGGGTATCACGAACCGACGACAGGAGCCAACGCGTCAAACGCCTCGTGGTGCTGGAGCTGCACTTTGACGCGCTTGCTCATCACTTTTTTTCTGAAATTTGGTCAATACTAAATGGACTTTTGACAACGCGATCGACGCGACGCTTCCAGCCAAATCGCAGACGACGTGGATTGGATGAAATCAACACCACCAACATGACGATGCCCACTACTTATTAGCCAATCCCGTGCATACCTGCCACAATCAATACACAGAGAGGGGAAGACGCCAGCATGAGCACCGATGCGACCATGACGTCGTGTCTGAACCTCATGCGTCGTCTGCCGCCGCGGGAGGTGGCGACGAACGTGTACGACCTCACGCGTCTTGTACCGTCACTGGCGGATGAGTTGTACCAGCGCGTGGACCAGCCGCTGGAAGTAGCGGTAGATACCGCCAATGGCCGCAAGTATTTACGCTGCGACTATAACCGCGACGAAGATTCGTACCGGTCACCGTGGACAAACCGGTACGAACCGGTACTCGCCGACGGAATCGGTTTTTATCCGCCAGCAACACTGCGCGAGCTCGAAATCCAAGCAAATGAGATTTTTGACTCGTATCGGGAATTGTACTACCAGGGAGGCATCTCGTCCGTGTACATGTGGGACTTGGAGCCCGCCGGCTTTGCTGCGTGTTTTCTCGTCAAGAAGGACGTGGTCGAGCAACGGTTCGTGCAGAACGGATCGTGGAACTCGATTCACGTGATTGAAGTGCAGGAAACCAACAGTGAAGAGGGAGTGGCAAAAGGTGGCAAAGAAGCCACGTACCGTCTGACGACGTCGGTGTTGTTGACGATGAAGGTGGATCGAGCGGGACTCGGCGAGTTGTCGCTCGATGGGACACTCACTCGACAGACTGAACGCACGATGGCGTTTGAAGACCAATTTGCCCATGTGTCGAATATGGGCCGCATGGTCGAAGATATGGAGATTGACATGCGATCGAGCTTGGACGGACTGTACATTGCGAAAACGCGAGAAGTGATCAACGGGATGCGGAAACTACAGCAGGGACCGGCGCTCGCCACTCCGTTTGTTGGTGAATTGGCTGGCGCTGTGCTCAAGCACGGACAAAAGCAGCTTCCGCAGGGGTAAACTTGCCATTCGAAATGAACGTGATGAACCGTACTTACTGCTGTTTGTTGTGTGGGACTTGCGAAAGCGTTACTTCAGCTTTCGACAATGCCATATGTTTTGTCGGATTTGAGAACGGTCTCTTTGGCTACCTTTTTGACTACTTTCCGGCTAATTCGATCAATTGTACTAACAGAACACAAAAATAGTCTCGAGGTTTTTTGAGCCTCTCAGACCATCACTCTTGGGCGCACGTGGTGCCCTAATGCCACACCTCGAGGACTTCTTCACGCACGGCGACAACGGCACGAACGTCTGTTTAGGTCCAAGGGCGTCAATTAACGACACGGTTCGACCAAGTCGTCGAGAAGCAGACGAGGCACCTGATCGTAGTGTTTCGTACGTGCATGGACCGGAACACGCAGGCCAGACGTCGCTGTTGTTGCAGTTTGGCTTTACGCAGGTCAAAGCTGGCAAGAGCGTGGTGCTTGTCATGTGTGGGACTGCGGGGATGTCGCAGCAGCCAGCAGCGTCGGAAATTGTCCCGCTAAGTGCGTGTTCGCAATGTCAGCTGCCGTTACAGACTGGTAATGACAACAGCCTCTGGAGCCGGATTCACATTAAGTACGTTTCGGGCGGCTAAACAGCATCTCGTCCACACACGACTGTTTCTTTTTATGTATCAGCATCTTGAATATTTGCGAATCGATGAGATACTTTAGTAACGACACGAGAATGTATGGATGTGCGGTGATGATTATCTAGATATTTGCGAAATGTTACCGAGCTTCAGCACTTTTTATGCTCGTTACACGTCGTCGACCCTGAAGTGTCCGTCTTGTTGATTGACGGCTTTGAGACATTTTTCGCAGACGAAAGGTGACGATAGTCGTTTTTTTTCATTCTGATGGTTCGTGGTGTTGAAGTTATTCAAGTGATCGTTTTGATGTGGTCGTTTTCGACTTGTGGTTGTCATGGATATGCTCAACTATCTCACAAAAATGGTGTGAAGCAATATGAGCAACGCGTACCAGACGCTGGCCTTTTTGCTCGAAGCTAGGGATTACATGGATGCAACGACAGGTGGTGGCGTTGCAATGGTGGCGGGACGTTCAGATGCATTTTTGCTTCGAAAGCAAAGTCGATCTGTACTACGTCGTTGGTGTCGATTCCTGGAGCTTGCACCTGCTATGGAAGAGCCGGACGTATACATGATCCGTGAGGAGATAGAAGATGTTGCGAATGTGACTGAAGACACGGAGAGGACGCAAGTGACGTATGCATTTACATTGCCGGTTGACGATAGGAACGGGACTTTTCAACTGTTACATGTCCAAAGACAAGGACGTTAATGTGGGAAACAGCACGCTCAGGAAATGATCGTTTGACTTGACGTTAAATATGCGGGGGAAGATGCAGCTAGCAGTCATGCTGACTAGTCTATGTTGCTAACATGATGATACCTCGATGCTCGCATCATTTGTGGCATCTGTCAGCGCGTGATTGAACTGCCATTGACACGGCTTGTGCACCAAGTTGTAGGCTCAAGTCTCAGCTAGTGATGCATTTCCTGTCGCCGGCACGGCGTTTGGTACTTGTGAGAGGGTGATCGGTCCATTGCTTGCCTTGTTCATCGGTTCCGTTGGAGATGCGGGTGCACTTGAAGCAGACGAACTATCTCGACGAGTTTTCAACCATCCACACGCTCGCACGGTTTTGAGCTGGCCACATCATCAACGCCATTGACGAAAAAGGAGGAACATCAGCAAAACAACAACGAGCGTCAAAGTATAAAGTCACGTACATCGCTAATAAGCTTCTTCACGCGGTCCGGTAGCTCGCAGTTCTCTTGGATACGCACCAGGACTTCGAAATACTCGTCCATTGTTCGCCGCGAGGCAGGACTCGATCCGTCAAGCAGATCGCCAACCTATCGCAAGTGAACGGGCATTCCACATCCTTAGGACCAAGGTCTTTTATACATCACCCCAGAGCACTATATACGCACCAGAGTCAAAAGTCCACACGCCGCTTCAATTATTTCAGGTTGAGGTTTCACCTCATCATCCAGCATCATCGCGACGCAAACATGCATAATGTTCTCGGTGAGCAGTTGACGCCGGAACAGCTCTCCGATAAAGCCCACGTTTTGCAGCATACACTTTCGTCGCCACGAATGCTGCGTATTTCCAATCTTCTTGCCAACATGGTGCGACGGTTGACTCTCGGGCTCTTCGATGAGAGATTCATAGCACTTGGTGAGAAGAATTCGCCGAAAGTTGATTGTCTTTGCGCCATCTTTAAACTCCGGTGTGCGCTCCGACATTCCAGTGCACAATTTAGCATACGAGTCGCTAACATAAGCATGCATAACGAGGCTTAGTCACTCATGTACCTAGCAGCTCATTCCAAGTCGGCTCTACCTCAATTCAGGATTTGCGATTGCGCGGTCAAATAACTGGTCGATCATTTCTTGCAGTGTATGAGTGCAGCTGATCACGATACTCGTAAAAGACTCCAGAATGGAGATTACAGAATCGGGTTTGACATCATCCAGCAATCTATGGTACCTCAGCCAAACAACAGCGTAAGCATCATATCAGTAACATTTTACGGCACAAGAACGTACGCAGCAATACGGCGCCTGGCGATCGTTGCTTCCTCCACCAGGTTAACCGGTTCAACACCGCCCACCGTACTCCTGCCATCGGTGCCGTTCGAGGTTGTCTCAGTAGCCGGGCCAGTGTAAAGTCCCATGTTCATGGCTGCTGAATATTCTGTCGGGTTGAAGTAGCACACCAGCGACGCGTCATACGACAGGACGTTGCCATGCTGCTGACGGTACTTGTCTTTCTTGCTCTTCTTGCCCTTGTTCTCGTCCATGACAGCATCGGCACCAATCGTATCGGCCCACGTGAAACCTTCCGGCATCATTTCATACAGTGGTTCAAACTACACAACATCAAGACGAGAACATCCCATCATTCCACAAAACAAGAAGAAAAAACAAAGCAAGCATCAGTTGCGATTGTAAGAAGAACGTAATGTAACAAGAACCTGTAGCTCCACAAACCAGCAGCAGCTCCGCAATCGTATACACCAGTCTGCCTTTCAGCTTGCACCCAATTTTCTACGCAAATTACGCGGGTCCCGTCACAGATCAGTACAAAACATCACGCGATCACAAAGTGACAAAAAGACACACAAATTGAGCCCTTACTTTCACCGGCGACGGGTTTCGAACCACGTCTGGAATACTCTTGATAACGCGATCTCCTAACACTTGAAACTGTTGCAACCACTTTCATCGCTCAAAACTCGCCCTTTTTTGCCAGCATTTTGTCACAACGTTTTATCCATCCTCACCGCTAGTAGATACTCTCTCGAGTAAATGAACCGGTCCTGCAGCAGCGAGTACCCCTCCTAAGCACATTTCAGCCAATAATTTGTCAGCCAAAAAACACACTCGTCAATTCCTTTTCATCTCTCCAAAATTCCGATTTTTGTATAAAAAAAAAACCTTGGTTACGTTTTCGTACATAAGAAATGCAGTCGCCATTCGCATCAACCGCCACATCGTGTCCCAGTGTAGGAGTCACATGCGTCAATGGCGTCTTCTCATTGGCTGTAATTGGGGGCGTGTCGATCGGTAGTTGCTGATCAGTACTCTTCGACGTTTTTTCATCGATGAGTATCGACGTGGTGGCTACTGATTTAGGTGAAAAAGTCGTGGCAACTGGCGCGGAACCGAAACTGCAGATAGAAGCAGGGGGTAGGGTCAGTATGACGATAAAGAAACGGATTATTAGTTAGATAAAATCGACAGAAATGATAACGACGACGTACGTTGGGGGGACCCACTCGCCAGCGTTGGGGTTCAGTCTCGTCATGCTACAGCGTGTCTACTTGCTGTTGTATGTATGTATGTATGTATGTATGAACGTCAAGTGGTTGGGACTGAATGAGAGTGGAGACACGGAGTTCGATTAGAGAGGGACAGAGAGCGTACCCTTTCTATCGTATTTCTATAGGCAGTTTGTCGGATTTTATCTGAACCAAACCGACTTGCTCCTGTCTAGATGCTGGGCACTACTACCGGTATTTGGTGGACAGCTGGTAATTTGACGACCTCGTCTAGAAATGAGCTATATGGAGGTTTATTTCCTCCTTTGATATTATTTATACGAGGTTTTTGCGAGAATGTCATGACTAGATGGTGTTTACACATTTGTAAAAAAAGAGTCATAACAACGAGTGAGTGAGTCAGAGGACTTACGACCTTTGTATGAATGAAATCATGATCGGAGCGATATGACGTACCTGATGAGACCTGACTCCTCGGGTCGATTTACATCGGAATCGACCAAGCAGCTACGTGCTGCAAACTTTCGAGTTCAACTGTTTCTCTGGCCGCTGTTTAGCACCCTTTTCGCCTCCCATTCCATCGACTAACTTAATTTGTATCTAGGACTGCATGGTCTGTCCTTCCGAATTGAGCTGCAATGAAAAAGCCAACCGGCTGCACTTTCAGTATGCACATCATGCCACGCCACGCATTCTGAAGTCGTACTTGGACCTAAAAATTACTTCCATCGGAGACACAATCCATCGCAATATCGAGCAGCTTCTTGGAAGGTGGTTTGAGTAGATTGGATGTTGCTATTGTGTTCGTACGACTTCATCGTGGCACGAAAAGGCAGGTCAGCCCTTCGACCGGTCGCTGTGACGGATATGGTCTTCACTGGAGCATTTCGTAGGACGGCAAACCGATAAAAGTGAAGGGCACTTCTTCATTCTCGACCGCAATTATTCACCGTGTTGCAGAATGCCTATTCAGACCATGGTATAACCAAGCAGCTACTACAGTAGAAGCAATGTACTCCCCTTTCATTACCAGACGATATAGTTGTGATGTCAACGGTGCCGAAGCATTCGTCGTAGTGGTTGCTAGCCGACTCGATCAGCATTGCAAATACATGCGTTTAGCGTTACGGCGAAGAGATGTGTGCGTGAATTCGTCAGACGATGACATCCATGATTTCTTGCTGAACATACAAAAGCTCTCTTTCCCGGCTGGTGTTGTGTCCTGTCTTCCTAGCTTGTATCAGATCCAAGCATATACGATCCAGAGTGATCTTCAGCACCTACTTCACGTGCTCTTCTTTCATCAAGGTATTGCTTTTGAACCAGTTGAACAAAAGCATCTGTCGATCAACCTTATCAACTTTGTTGATGTGTGCACCTACCTCTCTGAGCAGCAATGATACTCATCATCTGATTATTTTCGAGCGACATGTTAGCAGTGACGGACTACGGACACCCAGCACGTCTGATCGGTCCTCCCTTATTTCACAAAGATGTGGCAAGCTGCACATAGTGAGAGGTAGCGTTATGAATTCGTTGACCCGCAACTCGTTACAGAAGCAGTTTTAAATTGACGCCACCATTGATCTCGTTCCCGTGGTGTACAAGAACCCGTCTCTGAGTGGCCTCCTCAAGGTTACCACCAGCATCACACCTGATTTTTACCTGCTCACTGCATCCACGATACTTTGTCTAGTTCGTGTGAAGATTTACGCTCCAAGACCACTTTACATCCACCTTACACGTCGAGGGGCCAGAATTCGTGTTTGCTGAGTTCTCATCAAGCGCAGAGGTATTTCCTAGACTCGGCAAATGCCGTTCATTAGTCCTGTTGTAGTCTACCTTCGTAGCATACCATATATCCATTGAGTGAAATACGTATCGTTTCCATACGTACTAACAGTGTTGCCAGACGCCTAAGTCTGCATGCAATTGCCAGATCGCTTGAATATGCAATACCAAGCATTGTCGAGATACCGCTCTTCGGAATGGTATTCTTAGGGAATCCCTCACGAACGCATTGATAATAGAGCAATTGATACGACTTGGAACGGGTATTTCGCGATTTCCGTCGATCTGCGAGAGGTACTTGCAGGTTCTAGCTAGTTTCATCTTGAGCTTACCCATTGCACTGATTATTCTTTTGCGATCAATTAGATGATACCATCATGACAATAAAGTGTTCCGCACTTGCTCGACAACACGCTTATTCTGTCGGGATTGGCCGATGCGTAAAGAACTTCGCACTGATGCGTATCGCTGTACTCTGATGAGATCTCGAACTATCTTCGTCAGGTTCGACCAATGTAGAACATACGAGCAAAATGTGTGTATGTAGAACATCGTTGCGGTATTTGTTGATGCTCGAGGACTGACAAATTGTCAGGCCTTCATCTTTAAATATTCATCGGTATGTCATGTGTGACATGGAGCACTATTTAGTGCGGCCAGTCGGGTCACCAAGCTTATAAAATGTCGATGACAACCAGATGGAGTCAAGCGTTTCAGTCAGCAAGTCATTTTTCAGCGTGTTTTTGCTACAACACATTGGCCGAAGGAAGACCACACACACACTGCTTGTTGGTTTTGAACTAGGGAGCTAGTCAGTTGTGTTGATTCGTCTCACACTGTAACCTATGCGAGACGAAATGGACATGTGGAGCTTACTTCTGTACATGGGGCTTTACATCTTGTCGAAGGATGGGTCATCTCGAAGCTCCTAAGCATCCGTGTGCTGACCAGCTGGGACTTTGTGGAATGTAACTATATCCGCGCGTGATTTTCAGAGGTACACTCAAAGTTTCGTGTCTTAACTCTTGGGAATCTCCGGGAGGATAATGCGCTCGTATATGGCGAACTGCTGGTCGGCCTCCGATATGATGACGTTCATCTTCTGCACGCCCTGCTTCTGCAACAAAGGGATACGAGTTGTCCGAGACGTAAGCGTATTGTCGTACTCACTGAAGACCATGATCGGCCCGAAATCAAGTACCAGAAGAGCAGCGGGTGTGAATGTCTCTACAAGCCGATCGCTCTGTCACGATTGTAGTCGTAAGTGTTAGCAACCAGTACAAATGATCAGGCTGTCAGGTCCCGAAAACTAGGCACCTCGTACAATGTAAATGGCAAGTTCTTCCGCTGAGGTGTGGACAATCGGAAGCAGCGAGCAGTCTACCTTGGGAAAGCTAGTGGACACCACGATGCGATAGTTGGCTTCGACTATCGCTAGCATCACCACTTCGGCATTAGAACAAAGAGCTACGTACCTGAACATTGCCAAGTCTTCCGTGACAATGCGTACATTCGTGCTGGTAAACGAAATCTAGCCCACATCCATTGAGTCAACCGATTTTGCATCCGTCATTCCGTAGCAGCACAATACCGTACAGTAAGCACGTCGCTGTGCATCGGTACGAGAAACGACCCATTCAGCTCGTTGCAGATTGTCTGCGAAATCGTCTTGATCTCACGAATGTCGATCATTGAACCGCCCCGGCGCATCGGTGCCGTTATCGACACTTCCACACAATAGTTGTGTCCGTGTAGTTTTTCACGAAATCCCTGTTGTTGCGTCCATATTCAATCAGTATCCTTGCCATGTCAACTACCATTGAGTAGGTCGGCACGTGGTACCTTGATGGCGATAAAATGCGCAGCGCTAAAGTTCAGATTGTCCTTTGACACGTGCACTTTGACAAGGTTACCGTAAGACGCCATTGGATTTCTTGCTCGTGCTAGCACCAGTGGTGAGGAAGTTTGATTCGGGACACCCTTATTGTGGAGTATTGCTGACCGTCAAAGCGTCAGCGTCTAAAACTGCGAGACGATTTTGTCAACCTAACCTGGTTGCCGCAACTTGTTTTGATACAAGGATGGCCGAGTAATACCGCCAAGGTATCCTTATGCTTCAAGTGTTGTTGTTCCCCTTTTTAACGTGGTCGCGGCTCTTTTTGCTTGTGCTTCATGCAAGGTTAAAGCTACAGTGGTTGCTCGGCACGATTCATGATGCTTTTTGCCATCCTACTCTTAAATCGAAGCGTCTAATCATGATAATGACCGACAAAAAACACGTCATGTCTGACCTTCAAGTGGTAGTGTAAGTGCACTCTGATCTGTACAAACCCGAGCGCAATGTCGGTGTCTCGCTTACGAGTTAAGTAGATGATCGATGCAATGAAGTATCCGCAGCTGCAAAGGACGCAGCAGGACAGAAACACAGAGGGAACATGGCTGCACTTCTAGGGATGCGAAGCACTGGCAAATCACCTTCCCTAATACTACTTCCTCATGATGCAGTATAATCGTTGCAACGGATACACTGGTCGAAAGCAATGGCATACCATTCATTCATTCAGAATCAGTTGCCTTGTATCCTCGTAGGTGACGCGTGATTACGGACTCAAGCAGAGTTTCGCAGTAGCTTCGGGTGTTTGCGTTCTTGGGACTCTTGCACAAAGCTTCCAGGTCACCCTTGGTCTCCACACTTGCCGTTGCTGCAGATAACTCTTGAATAGCTTTGTCGAGTTTCGCAACGGCTTCAGTTGAGTCATCTTGTAGTCGACGGGAACTGGAAGTGGCAGGCAAAGATGCCAACAGTGCAGCGTGGCCCTCGTAGAGATCCAGCACCTGGGTGTGGATCGTGTTGCCAAGAATGCCAAGATGGTCAAGTCGATCTATTTGCGGCAACACGTTCCACTTGCCCAATTGAGATGAACCCGTAAACGCGACAACACTCCCAACACCGTCGGAAGCCATCGAGATCGAGTTCACGAGGCCGTCGTTCGGTTGCCACTCGGTTGGTAGCTTCAGTTTGTCGGGTGCATACCGCCCCCCTAGAAAGACTGCAAAGGGTTTGAGAATCAGCAACACACTCATTAGATGGGGCAGCGAGATCTTGCGGAAGAACCAGTCTCGCGTGTCAAACGTGGCTACATTGGTGTAGCTATAGTAGTACACGTCACTCAGTGTCTTCACCCATGTCGCTTCCTCTTTTGCACCGCTAGTGGACAAACTCCAGAGACAAACGTCTCGAAAGCCTGGATCAAAGATCCTGCTCGAAAAGATGCGGTGGAAGTACATTCGCAGCGTCTCGCCTGGTTGTTTACAGGAGATGTTCCAGTGATCCAATTTGACATCGTAGAACAGTTCGGCACTGGATCCAAGACTGCCGAAAACACTATACGCAAACGCAATCAGGTCTGTGACAGATTCAGCAATCTCAGCGATGCCATCAGCCAGGGTCGTGCCCTGGTTCGGCGTCGAGATTGTTGTGATCGAGTGCACCCAGCTCTTCCCACCACTAAACAAAGGGTGTGACGATGGGTTTTCCTCGATGGGTGCACCACTCGTGCCATGCTCGAGCATCTGAGTCAGCATTCGAGCAGTCTGGCCACCCATACTATGTCCTACAAGATGGACCTTGTTGACCGAACCGTCCGAGCTGACCGTGCCCCACTTTGTGTAAAGTCCCGTATAATTGCGTCCAAAGCGAAGATGGTTGTGAGTCGCCGAGTGATTCTGGCCATAGTCAACCTGTCCACCTTTGATAAGAGCGTACAGCTCGCAAGTGCGATCCCAGTTACTCGATAAGGGACCGACTGCAGCTGTATAGACCGTGTACCCTCGAGCCCTGAGCTCATTCTGGAAATCTCCTTGACTGCCACCCCAGTATCGGAAACCCGATAGTTCGTCTCGACCCCAACCAGAGAATCCGCTGACGAGCACGATCGGGTACGAGTTCGTCGCTTGTGTCTTGTCGAGTGATAGTGCCGTCATAAAGAGCACTAAGGTGGCGCCAAAGAACCGCACGGACATTGGTTGAAGGTGCAAGTGCAAAGGGTGCGTATCAAGTGCGAAGCTGAATGGGAATCGAACGTGGGTCACCACGTCTCACTTGGTCTGGTGGAAAGCAAGTGTGACTGGTTGTGACGGCGTGGATACAAGCGAAAACTGTGTCGCGCAGAAACATTGTGGCACCAGGACAGAGTCATGCTCTCCATACTCGGGTCATCATCGTCCAGTACCACTCGGATGGATATGCAGGACACACGCTGATGGAAGATACGCCATGTGATGCAAATCTTTGTCTACTGATCACAACCGAGTGCACAGGACAGGGCTGCAGCTCCTAGATTGCCTCCGTGTATGAACTGGAAGTCAAAGTCGTGCAACTGCGTCATTCGTGGTAGACTTGCCTGATTGAGGATCCTAGTGTTCAGCCTTAGTCAGCGCTCGTGCTGGTCGCGAAGGTGCATGTGGTGACTATGATATCGTCTCATGGCACTGGCAAACGTGAAGCTTCGTCCAGCAACTCCAAGCCAGAAGGTAAATGCGGTTATCACGGCCCTTGTAGCTAGATGAACGCTTCAATTGTCCCTCTTCCACATCGCTGTATTGCAACAACTTCTCGTCTGTGCGCTCGTGTATGCGATCGTTACGATGTCGTGTACTGCCAACGACGCATCTACTATCACTAACGCAGTCCCGTGTCCACCCGTTTGAACTCATCATACCTGGCAGCTATTTGTCGCCGTCTACATCGGCTCTTCTATCATCACTGCAGTCATAGGATGTGCGTCTTGCCTTCTAACTTTTTGTTCAACTGCTGCCATGGATCGTGCTGGTCACGAATACAACTGCGCACGGATTACTCACGTAAGCATCGTTTCGATTAAGATCGAGCGAGACGCATGTCTTACAGTCGCTCTTTCTGAGGCGGGAAACGATCAATGACCGGCACAGATACGTGAATGCCCCGCGAGTCCAACCACAATATCTGAACAAGGAGACCGTGGCTCTTTCGCGAAGAATCGTATCGTCTTCACCTCGCTGTTTGCTGTAACTGAAACGCAAGCGGACTACGAACGCAACAAGCCGCGATTTAGAAGTGAGCAACAGAGGTGGAAGCAGTGACACTAGCACTCACGCGACACATCTGGGTTGCAGCATCTAGACGCATGCTAAGAGAGAGTGGACGTTAGCATTTGCGGGGAAAGGCTTAGCTCTCCTCTTGGTACTCAAGCGAACTTCAAGAAGGCGTTGTGACGCTGCTGTTGCTGTACGAATTGCGTCTTGACGCACAGGGATCTACCAATGGTAAGCTTTATCGTGATGCAGTGCAGCACTACCACCGAATGAAGTGCTTCAATAGGTCATCCTGCGTCTGCTATCCACTACCGACTTGGTGTTCCTTTAACAAGCCAATGATCGGAAATGACACGATAGCAGGACATTGATAGCCACAAGGCTTGATGTACTACAGCCTCGTCCGGTGCGTCTGCACAATGCGTAGCCGTCCTTTGAATGTATCCAAACACCGCGACGGCGTTTACTATCTGCGTTTTGCTAGTCGCTAGTAACCAACATTTTGCAATGAAGAATGAGGGAGCTGAATCATGCGAGTCAGGAGTGACCGGGATGTCGATCACTTGTTCTCGTTTACACGTGCACAGGTCAACGCAGGAACGGCTTACTGTGAACATTGCTGCTATCGACGTTTGACGGTAACCAACCGCCCACACATGAACAACCGCATGCATCGACTTCGACAATCGTTTTTCCGTTGTGAAAAGACCGAGAGAGCGACTGAGTACGTGAGATATTAAACGTACGGCAAGCGAATATACAAACAAGACTCAAGCGACTCGCTTGGTGGTGAGCTTGTTTGCACTAATTACTCAAGCGAGCTTGCTCAAGGCTGTTGCCCAAGTGTCAGAAAATTATCAACAATCGATAATTCATGGTCTCTGCAAAGCCTTCATGTGATACCATTCATCAGCGTTGAGCCTAGTGTGAACATGGAGCTTGGGGGCGTGTGTGCTTTACTGCATGCACATTCATCGTTTTGTGTGGCCTAATCAGAATCAACACTACAATCACGATCGTTCCCGTTGCAGAAGCATTAGGGCATACGCGATAGCTAAACGAAGTACATCAATCGATCGGTCAACGATCTACATGGCATATCCGTTCCTCCGTCCAGCTCTTCCTGTTACCATTGCAGAAAAGGGAGAAACACTCATCGATGTTCCAGCAACTGGATACGCGATCGCACGGACCACAGAAGCATTCCCACGCCGTGCCGACCGTTGCTGTTATCGTCCACGACGTTTGATTTGATTAATGGGTTTCCTGAGAAGGAAAGACTAGTAACGATAGAAGAAGAGTTGATGAGGTACCTTCTTATCGTCTTTTGATCGGCTCAAGACGTGCTCATGTCTACAACAACCGATACCTGCAATTGATCAGATCGTCAGATGCAACGTCTAAATGACTCACGCTTCGTTTCGTGCTGTTCTAGAGCGTTTGTGAGCCACCCGTCTTCCTAGCATATCTTAAGACACGAAGCCTGCCTAGAATTTAAATGGAGTACTGTGGCACGCTACCAGAGTACAATGTAGTGATCTCAGGCGATGGCTTAAGAATAGATAAGGCTCTGAAGTGTCGTAAAGCGGGCACCAAGGAAGCCAATCTGCGATCCCTTTTGATTCAACCCATGTGCGATTTAAGTTGGACTGCAACGTGGTTTTGAGCTGTGCGTCATGGTGTCGAAGTAGGGAAAACTAAAGCCAGCTCAACTGTACAAGACACGAAACGAGTATGTCCTCAAACACACGCTCCAATACATGTGTAGTTACAGCGTAAGCACTACGTATCCAATGCGTTTGCTTGATACTACAACATGAGCATAAAACATATCGTAAAGTCCTCACTCACTACGTGCATCCACGTACCTGCTGTTCACCATGCAGCATTTATTCAGGTTACGAACCAAAGTTGAAAGCGAAAAGCAGCCTGGATCGAGCTTTTACTAGACTCTCGATCTCGGTATTCGAGACGTCCTCCTCTTCCTCGCTGCCTTCATCATGACTTTCATCATCGGAATCCGCATCGATGCATTGAGCCACAGCGTCAACGTTCACTACTGCGTTCCTACCGCTTTAAAAAGTCACAACACTGTCATCCAAATCCGGCTTTAGCAGCTCGCGATACCACCCTGCCACTCATCAACATGCTTGATCACGTTCCCTAGGAACAGCTGGACTAAAGTGACCGAGGTCCTTCAAGTACTCTTCTGGTGGAGGTACAGCACTACAGGCACGTCCGTACAATACGAGAGCCACATAGTACGTTTGGTAGTACACTTTGGTCCCATACACAGGCCAATGGAATACGCAATTCATCCCAAGACGCTGTACGCACAGCTTGATAAGCTTTTTGCAATCGTGTCTGCAATTTCAATAGTAATCGTCGCTCTTGCTGCCCTTCCTTGATAGACTTTTGACTAATTTGCGCTCCTTCAGTCGTACATTGTCGCTTGAGGTGTACGACCACTGCATCTAGTTGGTCGAGGGCCGACGTGGTCCACACACGACTCTAAAAACTTGTCGCACTGATCTTTTCCAGATCAATTCATTTGAAACGAGGTCTGCAAAATGACGTCAGCCACCACTAAATTGAACATCGCTGTCCTTTGTACTGCGTTTCTCGATAGTTTCCAGCTTTGAGGGATGCGGGTTTTGCCGACTCACACGATACCAGTTGGTGACTGACGAAAGCGATAATCCATCGACGTTTACGCTGACAAACGAGAAGCCGATTCGTCTTCCGCCAGAGAAGGCAGGACGTACAATGTACGAGCTGGCAGTCGTTCAATGTTTGACATATCACGAATCACCCTGGACCAACATGGTATGCAACTCTTCCATTACATTAATCCGAAAGTGCAAGTGCTCGAGGCACAGTATCATCATGAAATGCGACAAGGAACTGCTGGAGCATATCTCCATCTGTGGCCCTGGCCTAAAACCTTCGAGCCGTATGATTCCAAGAGCAGTAAAACAATGTGACGCATTCTTTGTAGTACAAACAGTTACGAGTTTCTCGCTGAAGCTTGGCTAGTCAACAGAAGGCTGATACTTGGTATGATGACGTGTGCTGCGACAGCTACGTACCCAACCTGTGTTGTCATACGAACACGCATTGCCTTCATACTTCATTGACATGTCGGTATGTAACCGAGCGTAGTTGGCCTTCATCATTTGGTGCAGGTGCTTTTTGTGATTCCTATCCATTACTTCGAAGTTCTACCAATCGTTCGCATAAAATACCTGTCGACCTTTGCCGATCATGATGTACAAGCACACAAGTAAGTCGATAAGCCGTACCGGTCAGGTATTGCTACCCTTCGTGATCAACTGAAATAACACGACTGCATAACATGATGTGACGCGATATCATGGTCAAATGAACGCGGATAGATGCAAGCTGCATGATAAAAGCTTAATTGAATAAACAAGTCGCGTAGTATTCACGCGATGAATGTGTATGTTTGCGTCGACCACCTCATTCGCGAAGTAAGCAAAAGGAGTCCAATCTATGAATTTACTAGACACGAGTAATTCTCCATAGAGTTCACCAGTACCCCTGGTGTGTTGGATGCCCGCACAATGTCGGTGAGTTGACAAGATCTATTCCGATGGATGACACTGGATCCACCAGCGAATCAAGAATCACGTTAATGAAAGTTTAAATGCATCAACCCAAAAGTGCAATACATTTGCTATCGTATGCCTCGATAGCTACTGTTTCAAGCTGTAATGGTTGTATCCTGCATCGTGGTCATGCATGGCTTTCTAGTAACTGTAAAGATGAATTGATGAGGAGTCTAATATTACGAGTGCAAGGGAGCTTCCTGAGCTTCTGATGTCATGGTACCTCTGTTATGTCGCCAAATAATTGGTGCTCATACAGGCGGCGTTTCGTAGTACTTTATCAAGATACTTCTCGAACGGTGTTCTGTCTGGTTGTGAAGACCGTTCGGGTAACGTGTTGTCGTATTGAAGCCATTCGTACTAGTTTTAGTGAGACGCAATTGATTATCATCCGTAATCACATCTTGAGCAGCACCACGCAGTCAATTGCTTCAATTGAGGCTTCTCTGAGTCTTATGTACATTGCCTACCGTCTTAAGCAAGTATAACGCCACATCAACAAAACAACAGTCGAGATGGAACGCCTTTTCACGACGTCTCGCTCCTTGTTGCAAGCAAAACGTTGGACACATTCCATAAGTAATCTATGCAAGTGTGCGAAATTCATATCCGAGGTGTTTTACTTGTGACGAGGGCCCGCATATCAACCGCGGGAGGTCCTGAAGTGATGAGGGTCTTGTGTAAACGAGGCCACGCCTTCTTTTAACTGCTATTTTTGGTTAGCACTGCAAGAATGGTTTGTGTGGTGAGTTCACCGTGTCGCTGAGAGAAATGATCTACCATCCGAATCCATAAGTATATCTGAGGCTGAATCAAGATGTTTTTGGCGAGGTATCGTGTTGTTGCTGTTCGACGGTAATTCACACAAAATCTGTATCCCATCAACTTGACGCTGTTTCGTTACTGAAGCAATCGTATTCGGACTGCTACATCAATTCACAGCACCTATCCCGAATACATTTGGCTCGAAATACGTATCAACGTCTGATTCAATTTGTTAATGACTAGGAGGATGGACCTATTTACGAAGCACAAGTCCTACAAATGCTCGACGTGCGAATGACTTCTTCGATGCATAGAGTCAACAGGCGTCTGCCTCATTCATAACCAACGACGTCGATTAGAAAACGTTCTGTTAGACCCGATTGCAAGATGAAAGTCCCCAGGCTGACATGCTTGCTGCCGTGCATCATCTGAAGCAAGCAGTGACTGACTGGATGATACAAAGTACACCTCTTCGATGGCGTAGATACGTTGGATGCCTCATCATTAGGAGATATAGTGGAATCTAGTAGGTTTCTGGATGCTTTTTTCCGGATTATGATCAGTTGTGAGTGCTTTCTACATCCATTAGGTTATGCCCACGACCTCAAATCAATTTCAGTCGATCGTGCGATAGTTTGTGACGGACAACAATACAGCAATTGTGTACGCCGTACCGGACATCGATCCATGCCATTCACAAGCCTGTCTGGATAACCACGATTCATTTCGACATCCAGTTCGATTTTACTCTTGTCATACTTAACTCAATAACAACGTACGGCGTAGTCGGGCAATCCCAAGTTCGATTTATCACGAAGAAACGTGTGTTTTGGTGGGAGTATATCGTAGTGTAAGTGTAAAATGCTGTCTAGCTATGCAATGAATCTACCATAAGTAAAAAGTATTGCCAATATCGGCTACTCTGTCTACGTGCAATGCTGTTGCTGAGGTGGGGACAACCTTGAAATCTAACATGTAGTTGCGCGAGAAGTCATGTAACTATCTCGCATCAAAGGCGTCATAGATCTCCTACCTGCAGCTTGGGAATCTGTCGTTCATTCAAGTGTCCGACTGAGTTCTGGTGATACTGGAAGTATGGACGTGTGAGAACAATGGATTATAATAATCTCTGCCAACGAGGCCACTGACGCAGCAATGCTGCTACGTATCTTTGTCTTGTTAAAACGTGCAGTTGACAAGCGCTAGTAGCGAAGATCTGCATGTAGACATGTGTCGGCGCCACATGGATGATGAATGATCACCCTTGACTCATGCCAAACGCAAATTCAATGCAAAAAATGAAACTGAACAATAGCACTCCGAAGACTGATTTATACAACTTGCACAAGGTTTGTTGTAAGAGTGTGAGTAGTGAGCTAGCAGAAAGCTTCAAAATACCTTTGTAAGCTATACTACTGAACACTGGACGTAATGCTGTATGAAATGAAGGCGAGGCTGCGTCCATGCCATCACACCAACGCCGCTATTGCGAGCATTACATGATGAAGTACCACATTCTGTGGCACTATTTGAATGCATCTTGTCGAAGCAAGTTTTGATACCAATCGTCAGGCGCCTGATTTCACTTGCTGAAGCCAATAAAGAAGCAGAAAGTTTATAGTTTATGATCAATTCCTTTGAGCAGGGTGCACATTTGCCGCTGATCGGGAACGGGTTCGTTAAAATATCGGTATATTGTAGCCGTGTCAGCATGCATAGTCAGAACTGACAATGGGATCGCTTACAATTGGCTCTAATCTCAACAATCGTTTACGCTACGCTTGTATACTCAAGACATGCAAGTTGACGGCTTTCATGTCTGCTTCGCTTTAAATGCAACAAATCTATCGACACCGAGAACACACTTTATCCTCTTAAATCTTGGACGAAGCTCAACGGGAAGTGTTCTACGAAAGACGGATGTGATATAGATGCAGCGTCGAAATTGACGTGCACGCTTTGTAACGTGATTACACGCGATTATTGAACCGGTTATGTTGTGTGTCCACACCAAGTAAAGATCGGTTGATCTGAGTGGCTATAGTCTTGATAAAAGGAACTTACGGTAATACCGCACCTTTTCGGGTAGGGATAAGGGATAAAACTTCTGTCATAGGATCGTAATGTAGAGGTCAGTCAGATAAGGTTTTAGGGTTTTATTACTGTAGCTAAAAGAATAAGTAAAGTTCAGTCCCCCTTTTGACTCTTTCGACGCTAGTGCCTGGTTAAGGCAGAGCGTGTTGTAAGAGTGTTAGCCTTGTGAAGGCGTTTACTCTTGTTTAACTAGCAGTGACTAGTTAGTGTGTGATTCTGTGAATCGTAATCCCTTTGTAACCGGGATTGTTAATCTTGTACGCTTGAACGACTGTACGTCTTGTTAGTTAGTTATAACAAAGAGACTCTTTAAGTCCAAGACTCCCTCTGCTAAGGAGCGCTAAGTAGCTCTGTTACACTTGGTACACTTGTAGTCAATCTACACCTGAGTCTTCACACACTAAATCCTCTGCCAGGATGGAGACGGCTATGAACCGCTCTGAGGCCCAGCAAATCAAACTTGAGAAGCTCACGGCGTTTATCGGGCACGAGCAAGTGGCTCTTATAGTGTCGCAAGGCCCGGATGCACTTCGTGCACGTCTCGAGGCCTTCTCGAACTTTGAGTCCACGTTAATCGGACAGGTCCATGACCACTTGGCATCTGCCATGCCCACTCGGTATGTTCCAATAACCGAAAACTGAGTTAAGGACTCTTCCTCTAGTCTTAAGTGTCAAGACTTCCAAGGGGAAGGAGGGAATCTGGCCTTACTGCGGTCAGAGCAGCAGAAAGTGGGCCTGGCCCCTTGAAAGTTAGGTGGGCGAGCCAGATAGTGGTCCTACACTTTTGGTACCTCGATAGAAATGGTGACCACCTGGGAAATGCTAAAACAGCAGCTATATCGGGTGTTTGCTCCGCCTAATCAGGCATATCGCGTGCGATCACGCTTCCTGTCAACCCGCCAAGGTAAAAAGGGCTTAGTCGAATATGTCCAGGAGTTGCGAACTCTCATTGCTCCTATGCAGCTTGAACTTTACCTGAGACGGTTCTGGTAACCATTTTTATGGACGGTCTTCGCCCTGGAGTTGCTAGAACAGAAGTGTTTCTTGCACAACTCTTGAGATCTTAGAGTGCAGTGGACATAGCGTTGAACGCAGAGTTTAGCTTTAGAACTTCCGTTACGGGACTCATGGACTCCGATCGAACTCATCGAGCAATGCTCATCTCATGGATAGGGCAGAGCCCATAGACCTTAGTCGCTGAGAGAGACGAAGAAGCGGAGCTTTACGCTGTCGAACAGCGTTCAAACATCCGCAGATGTTTTACGTGCGGAAGCATCAAAATCTTTGTCCCAATTGTCCTTTGAGAAAGGATCAGACTGACTTATTCGACCTGACCTCCCTTCGCTAACCAACGAGTTGGCAAGGCGCGAGAAAAAGTAGAGTCCGGTAGGCCCGGGGACTTAGGCGGGGGTATGCTTAGGCTCTATTGTTCCTCTGGGAGGTGATGGAGAACAGGGCCTATCCGCAAGTGGCTTCGTGAGCAATGTCACGAAGCATTCGTACAAGCCAGGATTGTTAGTTGCGAAAGCAACGATGAAAAGGGCTTTGATAAGCCATGCTCGATATTGATAGACTCCGTGGCGTTGAGAAATAATGTCCGAAGTTATTACCTGATAGGTAGTCAGCAGGATGCTGAGGCGCTGAAAGCGCGAAAGAATGAGACTATTACTGTTCGCTTGGCGACAGGTGCATTGGTCACTACGCCCAAAGTTTCTGTGAACTTAGGCGTTGAGTTTTCGGACTTTGACAGTGTCGAACGCTGTCGAGTCCTTGGATTGGATAAGAGGTATGATCTCATCCTTGGTATGGCGTGGCTAGAACGCCATGATCCATGGAATGATTGGAGGTCAAAGACCTCAGGCGCAACGCGCACTGTTTTTAGTGGAGCTTCGGAGAGTAATGAGACCACCCCTGCTGGGAGACAGAAACGCAATTGGCGCTAGCCAAGGACTGAGACAGTCAGTGTGCTGGACATCGGTATGGCCGAACTCGTTGAGTTGGACGATGTCAAAAACGTTAGTTACGGGCCAAGATCAATGGCTTTTAGTGATCGGCACGTACTCTGCCGAGTTACAATCGTTGTGATAACGAATCACTGGATGCTGAATGAATTGTTGGCCCGGAGCCAAGTCATCATGGGTTGAACCCATCTGGTGAGCGTGGAGTGGCTAGTAAGTACCCACTGAGTGATGTTGGCTATGATTGCGACACACTGAATGTCAATCAAGACATTGTTGGTGAAATACCAAGTCATCGAGGGCAACGCCCAATTAATGAACGCGGATTTACACGCAAGTACCCACTGGGTGGTGATCTCGCTGGAAGTGACTCATCACCAGATGTCGGTTACGACATTGGATCGGAAATAGATAAAATTAGGGTTGACACACTTCGTCTCCTTGGGGACAGTGTCGTTTCAGATGTAGGTAATGACATCGGCCCTGGTATTGGGCAAATTAAGGTTGACGCAGTTCGTCACCTTAAGGCAGTGTAGTCCCGGATGTCAGTAATAAATATTAGCTCTGGTGATGAAAATTGAGGTTGGCGGTCATGTCAATTTTGGGGACGTTGATGTCCCGGGTGTCGGTAATGACACCGGCTCTTGTACAGAGAAATTTAAGAATGATGATGGTATCAACCTTAGAAAATTAAAAGATCCAGCGTCTTAAAGACACTTAGTCTCGTCACAGAGACTACAGCGACGCCAGAGTGGTGTTATGCAACGCAAGGTGTATGTTACGTCACTGAGTGTTTTTAGCGAGCAGCTATATACACTCGTGAATGGAGTGACTGGTGATGTAGATGGTTCAGTGAGTCTTGAGACTCTACCCCCACTGGATACTCTATTTAAGCTAGACGAAATGTCTGTCGATGAGTTTGGCCTTACCTTAAGGTTAGGTGACTTATCTGAAGTGGTGGTCATTAGATCCGATAGTGATTTGAGCTCGTCGTCACTTCTCTACGAGGCTGTCTTGGAAGACAAGGAGGCGGCACGGAGTGATCGAAGTGGGTCGTCGATCTTGAAAGATCCTAAAGGCCCGTTTTATCCTTTAGTTGAGGAGTTTCAGGATATGTTGTGTCACGATCCACCTACAACTCTGCCTCCTGATCGAGTGTACGTCATGAAGCTGGCCTGGTTCTTAAAACCAAATACTGTGTGATACGGTAATGAACCTTACCAAAAGAGCAGTGTAACGTCATTGACGAGTTCTTTCGTGCAAAGCACGCGGCTGGAATAGTGCGTGAGAGAAAGTCTCCGCGCTCGACACGGATATTTTGTGTCAGAAATCCAATTGGCAAGTGGCGCATAGTACATGCTTCCAATAAGGTTAACTCGGCCACTATACCGGCACAGACGCCCATCCCTAGAAAGGATGTTGTCCAACCTATGGCAGGTTGTACAACGTTCAGTTCACTCGATTTTGTCGATGGGTATTACCAATTGCTTATGCGAGCGAGCTACGTTTTGCTCACAGCGGTTAGTACTCCAAGAGGTATACTTTGGGAGTGGCTTGTTATGCCTCAAGGGCTGTATAATGCCCCAGCTACTTTTAATCGTCTTGTGACGCGATTGTTCCGACCTCACCGGGGATGTGCACAAAGCTATTTTGAAGAAGTCATTGTCCATAGCCGTGCAAAGCATGGTAGGTCAGATGCGGACGATCACATTGACAACTAACGAGCAGTGCTCGAGTGAATGCGCACGAACAAGCTGTATGCAAATGCATTAAAATGCATTTTTGGCTCGGAAGAAATTCCCTTTCTCGGGTGCTTCATTGTGAAGCGTGGCCTCGAGCAGATTCCGCTAATGTAAAGTCAATTGTTGACTGGCCGGTTCCGTCGAACCAAAAATACTTGCTTAAATGGCTCGGACTTGCAAATTACTTGCACAAGTACAGTGCAAACTACGCTGATATGGCAAGGCCATCAACCAACCTACTCAAGAAGGATGCAGTTTGGTGTTGGGAAGCAGTCCATGCTCAAGCTTTTATAGCTCGTAAAGACAAGTCTCTCATGCTTCGATTTTGGCTTTGCCTGACCCTGAGTGGCCTTTTAGTGTCGTATGTGACGCGTCTGATTTTGCTATTGGTTGTGCAGTGTTGCAGATAGATGTCGATGGACATGAGCACTTCATTGCGTATGAATTTAGTTAGCGAAAGGCTGCAGAGAAGAGCTATCCAGTTCATGACAAAAAGTTACTCGCACTAAAATATGCTCTTGTCATGTTCAGAGTTCACCTACTTAGCTTAAAGCCTTTCGTTATTTTCACCGATCATGCGTCGTTACGCACTGCGACATAGTAGACTCAACTCTCACAGCGTATGGCCCGTCGGCTTTCTTCCTTTGCTGAATACAACTTCAAAGTGAAGTATAGTCCGGGCAAGCAAAACGCTTTGGCTGATGCGCTGTCACGCAGACCTGATTATGAGCTTGCTCATTTTACGACTCTGTCGTCATTCATCTTGGACTTAATTCGTTCAGCCTATGCGCGTGCTGAACAATGTGTAGCAATTGCTACATACTCTTGGAAGCGAAGAGTTTCAGACTCGGACATCAAATTGTCGGCACGTTTACGTGTGATCCTCTATAGATACGTCATCGATGGTGGGTTGTTGTACGATTGCACGGTGTTAAGGATGTGCTTCTCATCGCCGTTCCTCATGATGAGGATTTAAAGTATCGTATCCTCTTTGAGGCACATGACACTGCTTTGAGCGGTCATCTCGGTCGTGAGAAGACCTATGGCTCAGTTATCCAGACGTATTGGTGTCCCAAGTTGTGCAAGTGGGTGAGTACATTAGTGCGTATATATGAAACGTGTCAATGGTCAAATGCTCAGCACATGCGTTTGCACCTCTTGCTAGTTTACCTGTATTAACTGGGTGTCGGGAGTCCATAAGTATGGACTTAGTGTTTGGCCTACCGAAACATTCGGACGGCAACACTGGTATTTTGGTCTTTGTTGACCGTTGGAGCAAGCTGGCTCATTCAGTGGCTGTGACGGATTCCATTGATGGCGAAGGTATAGTAAAGCTGTTTATCGATCGTGTGTTTAGACGACACGGTTTGCCAGTGACGATTGTCTCGGATCGTGATTCACGTTTCAGTGGAAAGTTTTGGAATTCCATCTTCAAGGTGCTGGGCACCAGGTTTGACATGTCCACAGCGGATCGTCCGCAGACCGATAGTCAAAATGAGCGGGTCAACCGTGTCATTGGTGACATTTTTTGCGCAGCTTTTGTGCTGGTACGCCTAGGAATTGGAGCTCTGTGGTCCAGGTGCTCGATTTTGCGTTAAATAGCGCTGTTCATGCTTTACGGGATTTACTCCTTTCTATGTGAATGGTCTCACTCACCCAGGCGTTCCGTTCACGCTTCCCCTACGACGTTCTGGGCTTGGTGGGGAAAAATAGCCGATCGGATTGCCGATGTCAGCCCTAATAATGTTCAAAAACAGGTGAGCGAGTTTTACGCTACGAAATTGAATGTCTTACGACATGTACGTGACGCAATGGCTAATAGCCAGGACAAACAAAAGGAACAAGCTTATGCCAAATAAAGAAAGTGTTTTGAGAGTTTTTAAGCTGGAGACCTTGTCTTAATTAACACTAAGAATCTACATACCAAGGTGGTGTCGGCAGT